TAGAAAAAATCAATTTCAAAAAAATGGTTTACTAAAAAATTTCAAATTAGTGTAATTTAAAGGCAAATATATTCACATTTTTGGAAGGTTTCAAGAGGGGTGAAGAATAAAAACTTTAACTTAAGAATAAAATTTGAATAATTAAAAATGAGAGGAAAGAATGTTAAAGTCTAATGGTTCTTATAGAGCAAGGCTAACCTGACATGGAAATTTAATTTATTGAAAACACGTGCGCGGAGAGCAAAATTTTCAAATTGTCGATATTTACATTTTGAGTGATTTTTCTCTGTAGATTTTATATGAGAATTTTTTCTAATAAAATATAAAAATGTCCTATACAGTACTTTCCATATCCTTTTGTGATAAAAATTGGAATCTCCCAAAGATTTCAATTTTTATTAAAATTGTTCCTAATTTTTAACATAACTTTTTAGAATATTTATAATTAAAACCGATCTCGATGAATATTTTACAGCAATGAATAATATTTTCAAAAATATAGGGTATAACACACACACACACACCCATCAGTTATATAAACACTAACAGTGGCTTTGTCACTTCCTATCTCTAGTATTGTATTGTATGCACTACTTTCTATTATATTAAGCTGATTTCCTTTATATACTCTGCATTTGTTAAAGGATATAATAAATTGTTTTGAAAATAGAGCAATCCATAAATAAATCTTTAAATAAAAAGGCATATATTGGATTAAAATTTCATTAATTTTACCAATATATCAGTTAAATGAACTCCAACCTTTATCAAAGTATTATAGCATTCTACCTTGATGAAGGTTGGCGTTCAGCCAACCGATATATTGGTAAATAAATTATATTTTGTTCCAATATATATATACGTCTTTCTAATTAAAGATCTATTTATGGATTGCTCTATTTTCGAAACATCACATATTATATACAATATATTTTGAACCTGCGACTTATTATGATTTTCGAAAAAATGTATAATTATATTATTTAGAGAATAATTATAAGAGGAACTTTTCCTTTAACAAAATCGATCAAGGTATTATAACATTAATGTGTTTCAACAATAAACCCGCCCATTATGTTCTTGACACACATTAATATTTTATACCTTGATAAAGGTTGGCATTCAGCCAACTGAAATATTGGTAAAATAAATAAATTTTGATTCAATATATGCCATTTTATTTAAATAATAAATTGTGTTTATGCGAACTATGAACCAATGTGTCTAGAACTGTAATATATTTATATGTTATTTGAAAATTATTTTATATCTCAAAATTATAATTTCTATGTAAACCTCTGTAAAGTTGACCACCAGATGTCGCGGCTTTAGACTCTATAAACCCATTTTTGTTATTTCTTATAAACGTGACAAACCTTTTTGTATATATGTAAATACATGCATGATTGGATGTTTTATTTAATTTATTATTTTCATCTTGAGTCAAATATTATTATTTTCAAATATATGTCTTGTTTTATCATCAGAATTGAGGCAAATTGTGGTTTAAATTGATAACATCGTATTTTCTTCAAAAACTCATGTCTAAAAATCATTGGCTATATACTATGTTATCATAACCAGCCGTAATGATTCCTCTTTATCTCAGAAAAATATCATATTATTTATATATACCTAAATTAAATATTTTTTTAGTGCGATTAGTTTACAATTATAAGTTTTCACTAAAAATATATATAATCAACCATCAAAAAGAGTTTTTAAAATTAAATTTTAAAATTGTGCTGTTTTATATACATATATTTTTATAATTTGTATAATTCTTTAAAATCCGAGAGATGTTGTAATTTAACGATGTTAAAAACATAAGCGAAGCAAAATATTTAACTTATAAAAATATTTAGGATAAATGAAATCAAGAAATCATCCCCTAAGAGTAGACTAAAAGAATGCTAATATACTAAAATCTATTAAAATAATAAACTTAATGGATTGTTCTAAAAACTTTGAAATACAAAGAAGAATATTCTATGAGCTCCGAATATATAATCAAAATCTTCTATTGATATCTGAGATAACAATATATTGATTCTATAGTAATTAAAGGAGGCAAAATGGAATAACATATGAAATACGAAGATACCAAGATTAACCTTTTCATGATTATTTATTATTGAAATTTAAAATTTGATATTGACGTCAAAAATACCAATAAGAAATATTCTATGATGACTTAAAGCCGAAGTATAATCTATGACCTTCTAGTAAGAATGAAATATAATATTCTATCAAGATGAATACCGTAGGTACAATGGTAGAATTCTGTTTATTCCACAAACCAGAGGTAAACATCTATAATCTGATATTGCCATTCTGGGATTTATATCAAAGATGACAAAATCAACATGTTATTGATATGAAAGATGAAAATATTGAATCTGCTATTGATATATCTCTTAGAAAGAATATGGAATCTGAAAGTGTTGCCCGAAGTTAACAAAATTGTATTTACTATAGGTAATAAAATAACTAATTTGTAACTGCTATTGCCATCGTAATAACAATGGGGATTTTTGTATTGATGCCGAATAATATGAATATTTTCATGATGAAAGAAGCTCTTGATATCGGATTCATCATGGAATTTTTATAATAATATAATGATAATCATATGGAATATGTTTTGATACCGAATATAAAAATATGGAATCTGTTATCGATAATGAATATAACAAAATATAATTTATTATATCAAAGATTTCGATATGAAAACCTTTATCGATATTGAAGGCGAAAATTTGGAATCTGCTATTGCTAGCATGATAAAAATGTTGATTTTGCTATTGATGGAAACGAATGGAAATGTTTTCGATCATTGTTGGTTTTAATTTGATTCAGTAAAAATATATTCACATCACCACAAAATTGTTGTTGTAGCAAAAAAGCAAAAATAACAAAATGAAATCTGCCTTTGCAACCAAAGAAAATATTGAATCTATTATTGATAAAACGAATATATAACAATATGAAGTATGTTTTTGGCACCGAAGATTATATATGATACGGAATAATTTTCTTGATTACGAATATATCTGTGGAACATATTTTTCATTCTTAAGATAACAATACGAAGTCTGTTTTTTTATACCAAATATAATAATATGCAATCTGTTCTTTATACTCCGCGAATATGATATAGAATCCGAGAAGGATATCAATTAAGAGAATAAAATCAAATTATTGATAAGAAATATATGAATATGGAATTTGTTTTTGATAACGACGAAAGCAATATGGAATATGCTAATGGCATGCTGATAAAAATAATGCATTCTGTTTTCAATACCGAAGATGACAATATGGAATCTGTTTTAGTAACCGATGATAACAACATGGAAGCTTATGTAGATAATCTGAGGATTACAAAAATGTGAAATACTATTAAAACCGAATATAATAATATGGAATATGTAATGGATACCGAAAATACCATTAAACAATCTGTTATTGAAATCGAATATAACAATATATAGAACCTGTTGTTACCACCGATGATACCAAAACGGAATATTCATTGATATTGATATTAACAATATATTAGCTGCTATTGAAACCAAGATAATAATAAGGAATCTACTATCGATACCGAAAATAACAACAGGAACAATTTTATTGATACCAAATATACCAATGCGAAATATGTATTGGTACCGATGTTATCAATTTCGAAGCTGCTATTCGTTCTGAAAACTTAAGAATATCAAATTGAAAGTTGCGCGAGCCAAATTACAAAATTGAATTCAAGTAGAATTAGAAAAGTAGAAATTTGACAATATCCTACCTTTTTGCTTCAAATATTCAAATGTAATTTCAAAAATAATCTTCAGAGAACAATTTTCTGACTCTCAAATATATGACATTTATTGATACGGAGAATCAAATTACATATATCAATTAGACCTAAAAATTGAAGTATATCAAAAATGTGTTTCTACTTTTATCTGGAATTTTAAAAAGTGAAGCATTTTTGAATCAAACGCACTCTAAGAAATTAATCCAAACATCATCAGGTAAGCTCAACCCTTCTAACCTTTTAGCTTTAAGGAAAAATATTTTTCTGTTTTCTAAAAAATCCGATTGTCACGATTATGCATATATGCTCTAGACAAATATAATTTGTCCTAGTGTGGAACTAACACCTATCCATATATTCTCATCCCCAGCAATGGCCGCAGCCTTGCAGAAAATTGACATAGATCCTAAGCAGCAGTTTTACACACCCAAGATATTGGACATTATCAAAATACGAAACTATTTTAGACGCATATGATTCTTTTAAAATAAAACAATTTCTACTGCCCTTACTGCAATGGAAAAATTAATGGGAGGGCCTGGCTCATCAGTGGTGAATCCTCCCATACGCGTCTAAAATAGTTTCGTATTTTGATAACAGATGGCGCGCTCATGCATCATAATATTGGACATTGCTGCTGCTGTGACAAATATGTATGGCATCTGAGGCTCGTCGTTGGACACGACAACAACAACAACAAGTAAAATTAGATTTGTTTTTGAACAATATGAGTAGAATCAATTTTAGAAATTATTTGATTGCCTAACATTTTAAATATTTGAATAATTTTTATTTGTTACCTATTTAGCAATAATATATCCGTTTTACCTCTATTTTATTTATATTCTTTAAAATATTATCACTCAATTTCAAATATTCTTCAGATAACTCCCTTAAATAATACGAGTATTTAATATGTAAATAACAATTTTTAAATAGGAAGTAATATTTATAAATGACTGCGGCGTATAATTATAAAGCTATGCAAGCAGTTTAACCGCATAAGTTTCTTTTTTATTTATGAAAAAATCATTTTTAATTTCAAAGAGAAATATTTAATATTTCTAACTTTTGGATGACGTATGAAAAGGTTGAATATATGAAGAGTGATGGTTTATATATGAATGGATGACGTATGGAAGGGTGAAAAATATGAAGAGTAATGGCGAATGGAAAAAATAAAAGTGTCCAGGAGCGGGAATCGAACGTACAACCTTCTGCTTACCGGGCAGGTGCCATGCCCACTAGGCTATCCTGGACTATATTTAGAAGTTATTTTTATACCTCTCAAATATTTTTTTAAATTGAAACACAATTTAAATATTATTAAATGCTATATTTAGAGTTTACGATTTAATTCATCTACTTATAATATTAAAATAATCGAATTCTGTAATCGGGAGTCTGTAAACCGACTCCCACCAAACAGCTCAGTCACAATGCAATGGCTTTCAGCTCACGTTGAAATTCCTGGCAATGAACTGGCAAACTCGCTGGCAAAGGTTGAAGCTCTTGGCTTACCTGAAGCCAGAGAATCTACCTCCCAACTAGACGAAAGAGATCCCTCCGTACCATCAAATGCCGGCAGGAATGGAAATCTAATGCTGCACATGACTGGTACAGAGCAGGAGGGACAAGCACCAGTTCTGTCCTCCCAAGAGAACAACAGTCTTTGATTTACAGACTTAAGTTTGGTCATCTACGGACAACGACTTTCCAGAATGGTTGCAATGGTTTTCCCATTATGTACTAAGTGCAATTTTCAACCTGAAACCCCAAGACATATTATTGACTGTATTGACTCATCCATTGATGAACCTCTACTCTTCCCCGACAGACACCATCAAAAGTCTCAAGCTTTACAAACTTGATACCTTAGTGTGATAGAGTGGAGATAAGAAAGAAGAAGAAATAATCGAATATAAACCTCCAAGGATAAGTTACTCTATTATACTCTTAACTAGTTACAAGCTTTCGGGTTTTAAGCGTTCTTTCTACAAGTAATATATTTTAGAAAAAACGGTAAAAAGTATAATAAAGATACCTATCCTCGGAGATTTATATTTTATTAATCTAATTGATACATGGATTATGATTGTAATACTAATTATAATATATTGAAAACATATTCATTGAGAAAAATTTATATATAAAATTATAGAATATACATGTGTGTTATGAATATTTTGTTTTGTTGTTGAAAAGGATAGAAAATTGAAGGTGCAATCGTGAAAAAATATATTTATCTACCTTTCAAGTAATTTTTATTTTCAATTACTTGAAAAAAAATACACATTAATTATTTATCACAGTAATATAGAGTTTATAAAATGAATTATATATTCGTGAATTAAAAATGGTAGATTAACTATACATATTTACAAAAAATATTCAAAGTGTTATGTTCTAAATCTATGGTCAAAATATGATGAACGTAATTATATTATGATGCATTAGCGCGCCATCTGTTATCATAATGATGAGCAAGTCCTCCTATTAAGTTTTCCATTGCACTAAGGACAGTAGAAATTGTTTATTTCTGAAAAGAATCATACGTGTCTATAATAGTTTCGAATTTTAATAATGATGAAAGTAAAATACATGTTTTATAAAAATAAAATATTTGCATTTTAGGTTATTTAATATATAAATAGATTATAACTTGAAATTATAACCTTTCACACACGATGGTCAGTGGAATAGTGGTTTAAAGCGTTGGTTTATGACACGTCCTACCTGAGTTCGAAACCCGTATTGACCACATTTTTTTTTTCTTAAAAGAAAGAATTGGTCAAAATAACCCCGTCTTTCGAAAAATTTCTTAACTTAATTTAAATTTATATATTATATATAAAAGTATAGAGCGTCTAGTTTTGGCATTTATTTTGACGATAGGAAATTTATTTTAAAAGCATTTGGGCGAACCTAATGCTTTTATAGATAAATTTTATTTCGGCAAAATTTTCACCTATATATTATATACAAAATAAAATTCTCCTTATCTTAAAAATTATCTTTGCGAATCTTTCTATTGAAAAATTATTGATTGGAATTTATAAATAATTTTAAATATTATTCTTTAAAATAGAACAATACATATTTAAATCTTTAAATAATAAAACGGCACATATATTGGATTGAATGAAATATTTATTTGTCAATGTTTCATTCAGCTGAACGCCATCCTTTGTCAATGCATTGAATTTTTGTATAAAATAACTTAACGCCGCATAGTGTCATTATATTACAGTTTTTTCTTTTCAAAATTGGCTAATATATATTATTTTCAATCTAATATATATGACTTTCAATATATATATATATATATATATATTATAAAAGACTTTGTGTAGATTTTAAAATATTTTATATATATAATTATTGATCATTTGCTTGATACATAAATATGTTTTATATATATATATTGCAGTCGTGGCAATAATGATAAAAATAGTTAAGATCAGAAATAGCTTTAATTAAGCTTAAGGAACATTAATACATAATTTTACAAAGTACTACCTGAATTAAGGCTTGAGAATAAAGAAAACGAAAAACCTATTTACATAATTTACAAAAGATTTGAGCCGGCCAACCGGAAACGACAACAATGGGTTATATAAATGGAAAGCGCGACCTCTGGCGGTCGATTTAACAGAGTAATCTTTCTAAATATTATAATTTTAAAATAAAATAGCATTTCATATAATATATATTATTATTTTAGAGTTTATATATTCATTCAAACAAATAAATATCAAATTAAAAGCTATATGTAAATAAAATTACGAATGCTAAGCACAAATGAAGCATCCATTCCATTAACGGATATAGCATAGGGCGGTTAAATATTTAATGCTTGTTAATTCTCTAGTATTAGGTACCCAATTAAAACGGCTTACTACCGATAAACAACCGATATTAATTACCTTATTTAACGGTACATCGTTTGCTAATCTTCATACTTAGATAACATTGGGAAGCTTTTAGGTATTCCATTTGTAAAATAATAAATGCCACTTTAGGAATTCTTGTTAATCTCTTTTACAGGTTTTATATCAAGCTGCTTATTTACAGGATTGATGTTATTTTATGTTTAATTGTTTTAGTAATAAATGTAGTTTTATAATACAATCTAATGGGGCTTATGATTGTAGAACGAAATATGGCAATTATACCGCAAATGTTTCTTTTGAACAAAAAATCGAAATTTATTTTAAGGAGAAATAACGATTATTTCTAACTTCAGGGATGAATTATGATAGGATAATTTGGGAAGAATAATGATAAATGGAAAAAAAAGTGTCCAGGAATGGGAATACATATATAAATTTGGTTTAAATTACGAAAGTAGAATGTTGAAAAATATTGTAAATCTCCGGCTTTGTAGTGAATAAAGATCAAAGTTTTTCTCTTGTTTTCTCGTCAGAAAGGTTAACAATTTTTGTTTAGATGGGAAGTTTTCTGGGAGGATATTGATCATTAAAGAAGAAGGTCTTCATTTTCCGTCTAAATAGACGTCAATGCTATCTATTTTGTGGCCATAGATATTACCTAGCCACTCTGCCAGTTCAGAAAACATCTCTTTGGAAGATTCCATTAGTTCCCTTTTGGATCTCATGGAATAAAGTCAGCCATTTCAACAAGGGTCATCTGTTCAAAACCATAGTCTCCAAGTAGACGCATCACAGTTTACCAAAATTGTGTTGTTGTCTTTGTCACCGACCCGAAGACGCTAATTTGCGTCGACGGCAAAAGATTGCGTCTTGTTTTTAAGTTTTTGAAGGGAGATGTGACTTTTGAATTTCTAAAAGTTCAATTGTTTTAGTTGAAGTATTTTTTTATGTGTATGGAAAAAAGTTAATAGTAAAGATTCTTAGTTCCCGGTATAGTTTCATTTTTGATGATAAATTAATCTTCAAAATATGTATAGTTTCAATTAAGGGTCATTGTTGAGGAGAGAGCAGCCATTGATACTGATAAAGTTCATTGTACCGATTAAAGTTTCATGCTGTGGTGTTGAAGAAATTGTTGGCTATAATGTAAATATATTGTTGTGGTTATAGTTGTTTGTAACGTATAAATTGCTATTATTGTTGTGATAGATAAATATATACCGTTGTTGTGAATTAAGTAGAAATTGTGGTTGATAAAATTTTATAAGTAAATAAAACAAAGCATCAAGGGCTGCGTTTCTTTATTATAATAAAGAAACGCAGCCCTTGATGCTTTGTTTTATTTACTTATAAATCGTACAGGGCTTTTTCAATTGATAAAATTTTATATTTGAGGAAAAATCAGTAAATGTCGCACCTAATGTTTTAATTGTTAGCAATTGCATTATGATTGTTATGATTCAATTATTTATTGTTGTTTACAAAATGTATTTATAAATAATTCTATGCATAAATGTTAATTCAAATTCTCACCTCGATTTGAAATTTAATCTATTTTCTGGTTATTTTGTTTTAATAAGTGTTTCCACATAGAATTTGTAAATAATAAGCAAATAACGAAACGTTATATATCTTTCTTACATTCGTATATAACACACATTTCGTGAGATAATAATAAAATATAATTATAGAATGACATTTTAAAATTGTATCGAATATTATTCGATTTTTCTTTCAAAGGAAACACATGCGGGGTAATTTTCAAATGTCTTTCTACAATTATAAACCGTATTATATCGTATTATAAAATATAATTAGTTGTGCCACGTAGGGATAAATTAAATTAATTTATATATGAACTTATTAATTTTAATAAATTATTAATAGTATAACATCAAAAGGAAGCGCTATCTAATTAGTATATCACATTAAAATTTTAATTAAAATAATTTCCATCTATAATATGAAAACATTTTGTTATAACCATTTTCATTTTTAGGACGAGAGAATATCTAGGATAAAAATGAATGCCTTATGTTTTTTTGTATAAATTTTTAAATTATGAATTCACACAGGAATTAGAGTATGTATTGTTTATTTACCCATTTTTGTGGATAAGGACGTATGTATGTATATTTAGAATTGATATTTAGCAATTTATTCTATAAAAATATATTCCAATATATGTGTGTTGGCTAAAACCTCCGATAACAGAGTTCAAGACGACAGTGAATATTGATATAAACTATATATAAAATATAAACGCGCTTCGAAGAATTTGTTTTCAAAAGAAGAGAAGCTAGATGCCTCTTACTGACTAATTTATTAAAATGTACATAGAAAGAAACAAATGCCTACAAGAACTT